AATTTAACACTGATAAATCTCGATGAACGAGGCAAGAGGCCTCGCGCACGATATGGGCCGGAGGTACGTACGATACGTCGGAGAAGGGTCTCTAGGGTCTTAGAATTTGAGAGTTCGTTATGTTGCCCGTGAGCGCGAGAGAGACGGAGGTATGGGATTGCCCGTGCGCCGGAGAGAGACAGAACGACGGCGTTCGTCCTTTCCGAGTCGTGAATGGGAGGAATGGCTCCTTCGGTTCGTTCTGTCGATATCGTAAATGGCAACAATGGTACCCAATATCAAATTCAATTGAACGTATTGACTTTTTCTTGAAATCTTGTCTTTATAATGTTTTTTTTTCCTTCTCTCTTTTTGTTCCTTTTTTCTTTTCCTTTTTTTCTTCATTCCTTCATTCCGACGACCATCCGGGCCCACGGAGTTTGCCAACACGACAAAGACCGTATCCGGATAGAGAGTGGAAGATCCGAAAAGACCAGCTTGTATCTCTCGGCTGACTTTAATACGGGTCAACTGGTGTCAAGCGTGCAGCTGTGTCCAGAAGCATCAACCCGCGTCCATTATATCACGAATCATTATCGCTGACACGATTCTTGTCGTTTGCCGCACTTGTTTACAGCGCAATTTTTCCTACCCCGTTTACGTTTTACGCTGCCGATCTGTCAACCTACATTCTTTTGTTCCGCTTCTCTTCCGTACTCCCGGGTAAAGGACCAACCGGATTTCGCGAACGAGTACGGGAATCGGGATATCAAACCGGAAACTAATGGGCAGCACCACCTACCACATCTTGTAATATTTCAAATGACTGGGATTGTATTAATGTATTCTTCTCTCTCTCCCTCTCTCTGCGCTTACATTTACCGTACAAGTATACGCGTCTCTTAACGATTTACTTTATCGTTTGTTTGTCGCCTTATTTTTCCTCGTACTATCGTCTCGCTTCTGTCTCCCAGTTGCCGTCGAGTTAATTGAAACTACGCAATCCCGAGTTACTCGTTAACTCTTAACGCAGTACAAGTCAGCAAAGTCATAGACGCGTCCGTGGCACTTACGGTTATAGGAGCAAAAGTCGATGCCAATGTTTCCGCATTCTGGTATCTCATTTCTGTCTGGCGTATCGGTCGACATATATATGTATATATATATTAATTTTTTTTTTTTCATATTTCTGAGATTTTTATTTTTATCCAGCTTTTTTCTTTCGTCCGCATTTTACTCAGGAAGTCGTCGCATGACTCCTAGTCGAATTTCTGTCACGCTGGCAAATAGCACACGCTCTCGTTCCAGGCTACTCCTCTTACGCAATATTCAGCTGGGATTTCAGCCTGATACGAGAATGCTCGTCGCTGCTCTTTCAATGTCTCGACGGTACAGTCGAAAATCGCTTAGACGTTTGGGAATCGGAGGAAGCGAGAAACCGGCGAGAGAAAGAGGCGAGGAGAAAAGCAAAGGCGAGTGACGTAACGCGTGAATCAGACTGCGCGGTCAACAGTTCGATTTCGCAATTGGTATTGGCTTATCGCGATACCCGATGACTGAGTTAGCCACTTGCTTAATGTTTCAATGATTATCGGGTACGGTTGTCCCCGCGCAATGTGTACTTCCTAGACTGATAATGTGCTCGTGGAATGTATAATGACCGTTGATTATTTTCGCGCGAGGCCTAACGACTCGCGAATGGATTTTTCGCGAGGTGAATAAAAGATTTTAGTAAAAAGCCTTGTTTCGCGATAATTACGTAATCGGCATTAAATTCGCTTATACGTCGAGCAACGAGACCTTCGCGAGGAATCGACGTCTCGACGATCATTCGGAACTCTGGTGCAGACTTCGTTGCTGCGAAACCGTTCGAAATTGCGACTATCTATGAATTTGATGACGAAAATAATATATATATATATATTCGTCAATTACGAAGACACTTCCTGTGGCCGGTGACGTAACGTCGCGGTGAAATTTCGTATTTTCGAAAACACGAAGGTCGGTCCAGTGGGTTTTCAAAATTCGTACGGGACACTTTCGTTGGTCGTTGCGTAATAGATTTTAACGTAGATACTTTTCTTCTCCTCTCGTTTTCATCTTTATCGTTTAATGGATCCGTCATTTTTATCGGCAATCTACCCGTTCCAGTTAGAAGCTCGAAGTTGCGCGGCGAACAATGGCGAGGAATAGTTTAGCGGTGTGAAAAATCGGGTCAGAGCTCGTATAACTAATAAATCGAGTACAGTTGACGTAACTTCGTAAATAGTAATTTCGAAGTGAGCCGCGAAGCAAGAGAAAAAAAAAGAAGAAAAAGAAGAAAGCAGAAAACAGCTCGAGTCCGGACCGATTAAAACGTCGCCGGTCTTATGTGAGATACAAAACGTCCAGCGTCCGACGGCTTTCACCGAGGAATCTCACTCCATTAATGCAAATCACACCCGATCCCTGAATTCCGCGGAATTTCATGTCGATTAAAGCAAAAATGATTGGTCGTGAGGTCGGAGAAAGAAAAAAATTAATCAAAAAGATATCTGTGATGTGCATAACGATCGTTGCTCTCGACCAAAAGGAGTTTAAAGGTCTTTGACAATTTTTTTTTCTTTTTTCTTTTTTTTTTTACAACGCATTCCATTCACCATGAAATGGCGTATCTATTGATTGAGTCGGTTTCACATCGCTGTCCCATCCTTAAAGATTAATCATACTTTTCGTGACTTTTGACAGAACAGCATTGCATACCGTTGCGTACAGTAAGTCAGTATACGTACTGTGCCATACTATACTCGATTTGTTTACGTGGTTAATATATATACATATCCTCGTATAATATATATATATATATACACACAGAATACACGTAACTACTACCGAGAATAGCATACTGCTGGATCCTATAGTGAAATGTACTGTAGCGTACATACAGCGGGGTATAGTAAGGCTTATCCCTTCTACAGATACATTGCTTGTGTTAACCGCGGAAGCTGGCCTCGAACGAGCAATGTCGTCCAGTCTTACTGAAGCCTTCTGGCCGGTAGCAAGTCTGTTACAATATATCCCATTGAGTATCGTCAGGCCAGTTGTCAGACGTCTTGTTGTCGGTGGTGAGAGTTCTTTTTTTTAAATATTTGAGATTAAGAGAGAGTGAGTGAGATACCGGACGACAATGAGCGCAAAGGACAAAGGACTTTGAGAAGAAAACTATAATAACAGTGACTCCAAGCGAAATCCAACTGACAGATCGCTGCATGTTTAAGGTCCGCGCTGAATTTCCACGAAGGATTGAATCATCGATTTATCGGTACGAAAAGTAATTTTTTTTTTCCCAACACCCTGTAGAATACGTTTGTCATTCCGTTCTGGGAACAAGTGGTCCTTATGCGGAGTCTTCAAGGATAATGGCTGATATTATTCTTACGGCATGCTTATTATGGCAGTCCTAGGATTCGGCCGGGTCGCTAACATGCGAACGAGGCTCGTAATAAAATTGTACGTTTTTAATGAAAAACATAATCTTTTTAACTCGACGCCTAATCAGCAAGCTTTTTTTTTTGCTTTTGGCCGTGCTGTTATTATTTTTTTTTTTTTTACTTTGTCTCGTCATCCTTAAACACACACGCCGTATGGCGATGACAGTTAATGCTAATGATGACGCATAACGTTGTACTATCGCAACAAATATAGCACCGAAGTTCGGTCGGTCAGCTGATGATGGAGTTTGTATGTACCGGGTGTTGATGTACGCTAAGTTTTAAGGCGGTTGACAGTGATACGAACGTTCGGCGTTGTATCGTACTTGGTAGGATTTCCAATGCCCAACTCCGATACGTTTCTCGTAGCTTAGCGTATACACGGTTGGAATTGTATGGTAGATCTGTATTAACGCACATGCTTGAAACGTTCCCTTGGCCACTCTTTCACGACACACCCTGTACAGAGAGCACGATAAGAGTCATGCAAATATAGTTTATGGGGCTGCGTCGAGCTAGAATGTAGAAATCCTTGAGTTTTGCTTGGCTTCGGGACGCCTGAATTATTATTCAGTGTATATGTATATACGTGTCTCGGGTATTCGTGTGGTCTGTTTCTGTGGAACATCGGCAATGGCATGGACGTTGAAGTTACGGCTAAGGGTGTATAGATGGGTTTGTTAATTGAAAGGAGGAACGGAGGACGTTCGAACGGATCCCTGACGTTTGTATTAATGATCTCCCTGGTGATTAGTACTATCGTGTTGATTGATATTAATTGTTTATTCATAATGACGGGTTGACGGACTTTTTTTTACGTTTATCGGGTAGTATTTTTTTCTTGCTTTCTGCTTATGTTTCCGGGTTAATGGGGGTCCGGGGATACTTTTTTCTGTGATCTTGGAAAGTGAAATCTGTTTGACGTATTCATATATTATATATATATATGTATGTACATGGACGTGCATATATAGATATGGAACGATCTTGGATTAGATAATTTTATTCGTGTCTCTCTGCGGCAAGTGGGTGGGACCGGGGAGCATTTGGCGAAGGAGAAATGTGAAGAATGCCTTTCACAAGAATAATCACCGTCGCCCATCGACCTTCCACGTCGCTCCTCGGCATATCGAAACGGTCGAACTTTGCATTGCAAATTAATTCTGCTAGGTCTCTATTGTTACTTTTGTTGTTTTTACACCATGGTCCCCGACCATACTGAAAATGATCCCCACTCGTTACCTCAGGGGCTTCGTTACAAAATAGCTCGTGTTATCTTTCTGGAAGTTATTCGCTCTTTATCTTGCCGGATTCGTACACACAGTATCCATTTGTTGCATAGGCCTTGCGATAAAGTGCAGCTTTATCGGTGCCACATCGCAAGGCCGGATTCATAATCATGCAAAGGAACTGCGTCCCGGCCAGATCGATGACTCTGATCGAGAATTGCGATTCCGTTTCCTGGTTGTTAAATCATTTTTTTTTGTGTTATTTTTTCTTTCAACTTTTTGTTTCGAGTGATAATTTTTTTTTTTTTGAAATTTCTTTCAGATCTGGTAAATGGTAGAATGGACAATTGTGGCGGGGGTCAACGCCTACCCCCCGACGGGGATGAATTTCCAGCAGCGTACCAGGAGTTCGGATCGTCCCAGCAGTACCTGTACGTCAGTGCCAACAACCGTACTTCCGGTATGATGTCCTCGAACGGGTGTCTCGTCCTGGGGGAGAGCCAGGCATTCGCCACGAGCGAAACCTTCAAGCTACTTCCAAGCAACGGCGATAATGTCAAGGACCAAGAGTCCTTCGACGTCCGGGACTCATCCGGTGTCCTGGATAATTATTCGAGTTACGGCGGTACCGTGGTTTCGGAGAAGAAGATCGAGATCGGCGGATACTATCAGAAGGATGCTGGGTCGGTCGACTGTCAAAATTTAAATAAGGATACCAGGGACGAGTGTCCCCCGCCGTTACCAGCAACGAGACCGCCGAAAGTCGACTCCGTCGCGACGCCCACGAGGATCCCGGAGCAGCCACCGAGGAAATTTTCTTTGAACGGCGACGCCTGGCGGCAGGACGACAAGTCTGAAAAATCCGTAAGGGACAAGATCGCCATGTTCTCCTCTCAGAGCAGCTTGGAATCTCCGTTATTTCCGAGCACCGGAAGTGCCCCGTCATTGGGTTCCAGGAGGTTGTCCAAGTACAAGTCCTCGGAGGACGTCTTCGAGGACAAGAAGATTGCAGAGAAAGACAAAGGCAGTGGCCTTACGGAAAGGACTCAGAGCTCGTTCGACCTCAGTGCTACTTCCAATCAAGACGTCACCTCTTCAGGAAAGTACAACGTGACGTCCGGTAATGGTCAACTTCCTGCTGCTTCGTTCGCGCCGAAGAACATCGCCAGGACTGGTCTGGCTCGTCAGGTTTCCGTTACAGATAGCAAATCCCCTCCTGGAATTTATAGCAGTGGCGTTACTCAAAATTTTGAAAAAAATTTATCGCCTGTCAAAAGTTATGGCGTCACTCAAATTTCTACTGCCACTGTCGCCCCGGTCAAGGGTACAGGATTGACTAGGGCTACGAGCTTTTCCGGCGGAAGTGCGTGCGTCCACGAGAGATCTCAATCGCTCGGCGAAGTACCAGCGACTTCACAAGTTTCTAGAACAAATTCCTTGGCGTCGATCTTCAAAAGACCCAACGAGGACATGAGAAGGACGAGCCTTAATCAGTTGATCGAACAACGAAGAAAAGGAATATCGAAACTTCGCGGGCTAATTATACCGGAAAAGGAGGCTGTTCCCGTGGTGCAGCCAATAACTGATTTACCGGAAATCAAATCGAGAGACTCGATACTTTTGCAACAGGTATGCAACTACGTAATTTTAATACTCTTGTGCGATCAGGGAGGAAATGGAAAATGTAATAATATAATTTTCTATCTTTCAGATTCCGATTCACGACAAGTGGGGCTCTCAGAGTTCTTTGGCTAGTATTACCAGCACAGCTAGTGCGCCCATCAAGACGTCATCGTTTAAGATGCCAGCGCCGCAAATAATGTCGAAGTACTCGCCAGCTTTCAAGAGGAAGAGCCTTACGGTCTGTGGCTCAGCGACTTCCAGCTTGAAAGCTTCACCGGCAGCTATTGTGTCCGAGGCTCCTAAAAGCTTAGAGAGTATCTGCAGTCCAACCAGGAGTGATTATAGTTTTGACTTTGTATCGACTTCCAGTTCACCGGAAGCCATGAAGACTCGACCTAAGATTTCTGAAAAGAAGATTCGAAATGACTATGACGATTCTGATAACGATTCTGCAGTGAGTAGCTCGCAGAGTAGCATCTCCAGAGGATTTAGTCCTCCCATGTCGCCTGTTCCTTCTGAGAGGTCAACAGTGTCTTCGGAGAGATCATACTTGTCAACTGAAATGAACTATCAGAGATCCTCCATCATGGAGAGTCACTCTAGGAATCAGTATAACTCTCGGACTGGGGTACTTAGTGAAAGGTCCTTTGGATCATCCGATAGGTCAGACAGGTCATCCTCAAGTAGTAGTAGTCCCAATCCACTGTCTCCTCAGCCGCCGGAAGTATTGGCAAGGACCTCTCAACCTGTTCAGCAGGTTTTGAAGAGATCCAGCAGTACGGATACTAATTGTAGCTCGTCTTCAACTTTGACTTCGGGCTCTCAAGCTAGTGCTGAGTCCTTGTCGAGAAGGGTCCTCAAGCCGCAGAGTGTCGAGGCCATTAATAGGAAAAATATCCTTGCCAGTGCGCGATGTAGAAGCGGTAAAGATCTTAACGGATCTCCTTTGATTCAAAGAAAATTCTCGGACGATGAAGAAACTCCGGTTTCGAAATTGGCACAGGAAAATGGAATTTATAAGATTCAGCGTAGATCAAATGGCAGCACGGGTACCGTGGTACAACATGATATTAAGATAGCCTACATCGAAGTTACTGAACCCTTGGATGATAATAATGTAGACCAGAACGAGGACACGAAGATCTGCAATAGGAATGTTCCGCTTCCTGCTGCTAGAACTAGTAAAAAGGAAGTCGTGGAAGCCATAGAGACATGGACTGGAACTAATATGCAAAATCCAGAGAATTTCAATGTTGGAAAATCAATATTTGAAAAAGAAAAGCCAAGTGTTCTGGCACAGGAGGATGTCCTTCCACCACAGATTCGAGTCCCGAGAAGCAGATCTTCTCTAACATTAGATGATCAACTAACTGCAAGTCTTTTGAATGCAAGAAGTAGAGCGACCATAGCTGAACCGGAAATAGGTGTTGTGGAATTAGCAAAGCCAAGATCAAGATCGAGTCTTATATTAAACAAATCTTCAGATGAACGCAATGATGTACTCGCGGTTCTATCAACGAAACCAAGATCGCGTTCTTCTATTAACGTTGAAGAAGCATCTTTTGGAAAATCTAGGAGTCAAATGAGTTTGGAGGATATTTTAGCTGGTAAACCGGAAATCAAGCCGAAGAGTACTGAAACTCGCAACACTCCTGTACAGTCTTCAACGCGATCCTGGACGACGGAAAAAGCATTTACGTCGAAAATTCCAACACCGGAAAGAGCAAAGCCTAGTGAGAATTTGGAAGAGCCACTGGAGATTTCGGAGAGGATGAGAATTTCGAAAATTCCGACAGTCAGGACATTGGGTCGTCGTAGCGCCAGTGTAACTGATATGAAGAAGGCCTTTGAGAAACCGGAAATAGGTAGTGGTCAAATTCCACAGGCCACCAATGCCCACAGCCGCTTTCCAAGTTTGGACAGTAGTGTGGAAGACTCTTCAAGGACTCCAGCAGTGGAAGCTGAAGCTGAACGGTATTGTGGAGAACAGTTTGGAAGCATAAGTTCACTTGCAAGCAGCACCAGCTTAATTTCTCAGCAGGAACTTGCACAACTAGTAGAGGAGGCTAGCTTAGAGGAAGCCAGAGGAGCTCATGACGTTGTGGTCGTTCTTCTTCATAAAGAAAATCCCACTGGAAGTGTTGGAATAGCCCTAGCCGGTGGATCAGACTGCGAAGTTAAGGAAATTACAGTTCACAGAGTCCTGGCACATTCCATCGCAGATAGAGATGGTCGTGTACAGAGAGGAGACCGGATATTAAGTATCAATGGCAGAAGCACACGAGGACTCACCCACAGGGAGAGTCTGACTGTTCTTAAGCAACCTAGGTCAGAAGTGGTCCTCGTGGTCTCAAGAGCCAAGGACGACGATTCTTGTCGATTGAGGTCACGGACGGAAAGTGTGGAAACCATAGTAGAAGGTATTTATTCATCTTATCTTTTGTATATTAATATTTTAGTGCCATTATACTAATCATAATCTGTTCTTCGTTAGGATACGAAATCAACGGACACCAGGAGGATACGGCATGGGGTCCTCCTGTCACTGTCGCCATTTACAAAGATGGCGCTGGTCTTGGTTTCAGTTTGGAGGGTGGCAGAGACAGTCCTTTAGGCGACAGGCCTCTGGTTATTAAGAAAATATTTACTGGTGAGACTCTAAGAGCATAAAAAGAACTTATTCAACAATTAAAAGCTGTCTGGAACATTAGTACATCTCTTTTTCGACTAATAGGAGGTGCTGCCGAGAAAACGGGTGCCCTGAGGGCAGGGGATCAGTTGCTAGAAGTCAACGGAAATGACGTAACGAGAATGTCCAGGATAGAGGCCTGGTCGTTAATGAAGAAACTCCACGACGGGGAAGTGAACCTCCTAGTCAAGCACCCTGCCACAAAGTCATCGTGAATGGTAGTCAATATATAGAGTATAAAGAAAACGTATGAAAGATATCGATTAGGTCTTTATTGTCTTTAACAATAGATTGATGAATGAGTGAAATACGAGGTGACCGCCGCGGCAGCCCGACAAGTTCTCGCCTGTAAATAATAACAAATTCTAAACTGTATTCCTATTGGCGAGTAAGGAGAACTCCTAGATAACACTTTATAAAAACGTGTATTAACAGGTTACAGTGCTGGCAGTGCAATAATAACGTTAACGTAGCTTTTACGCAATGAAATTCATAATTGTCTTGTTCCCGTCGACTGCGCAATGTACATTCCTGCACTGCGTGGTCCATTATTGAAAGGTATGTCTTTTTTGGTGCCCGTAGAGACCTTTTTGTACAGGAAACTCGAAGGGATGTATTCAGACTTATTACCGAGCCATTTTATTCTTTGCAATGGATACAGTAAAGAAATTTATTTGGAAGTAGAATCCATGTTGAAAGCATTTCTTAATTATTCTGTATTTTGTAGTAATAATTTATAGAAACGCATGTTTAACAATGATGCCCAGTGGGTTTTGGTAGTGGAGACTGGAATCTGGAGACTTTTATTGTAATAAGGAAACTTCATTTGATACTTGAGAGCATGGCCATTTGTTGAAAAATTGTATTATACTAATTTGTACCATTGAATTAAAAAAAAAAAAAAGTAATCATACTCGGTTTTGAGAAGAAACTACGAAAGTATATGTTGTAAATAGGGACTGAGAAAGATAGATGGGCGATATATAGATAATATAAAGATGTTTAATATAATAAGCGATATATATATAAAATATATAATGTATTGTCAGAGTATTTAAATGTGAAAATTTATTGTCGTTTGGGTTTATTTCTTTTTTTTTTGGCGTGCTGATGAAAAAATCGTGCTGTGATATATTGCGACATTCGGGCGTGTAGCTAAAATTTGTTTAATTTTTTAATTTATACCCGTTTGATCTACCTGCTCGCATAATACATGTGAATTTATCATTCAGTTTTCTTTACTGCGTTCGTATTCGGTTTACCGACTAATTACGTTTGCTTTTTGTTTTCTTCGATTAAAGGCCTTGGGTGTATTTGTTTATTTGTCAACGAGATGCATTCATGTGTAGCCTCAACATAACAATAAATAATATTCGTATGTAAGAAAAGTAAAAGTCTTTCTTAAAGTAAAATTTCCTTGTATTTATATACACTATAAATCTATCTACACATGTGCTTTAATACCAGTAAAGTGGTTTAGGTATACGGTTATCTGTGATGCCCATTTTTTTCATAATATCCATTTCGAATGTGGATAGTGTTGCCTGTAAAAAAATGAATTTATTAAATTAAAAGAAAACCAGAAAAATCATAAGTATACAGGGTTAGTCAGTAGAAACGCACCAGCAGAAGTGGGCCGCAAGTGGCCGACACGGCAGTGTGGTCTCTTCAAAAAATGACATGTGACTGTGACCGATTCCCATAAGCGCAAACTGACAGTTCGCATAGCAATAAGGTTATTGAAATATTTCAATAGTTAGGTTACTGAAATAATTAATTAATATTGCAATGACAAAATATAATATCAGTTAAGATTTATTTTTACAACAGATTTTTTGCTATAAAAACATTTCAATTAATTGATTTTTAAATTAATTGCAGCATTGTATTGCAGAATTGCAGTTGTAATCATTACTTGGAAATATCAAAATTGTGAATATTTTAAACTTTACATTATTTTAATTGCAATCTGTTGTGAAAATAAATCTTAAATGATATTACATTTTGTCATTACAATATTAATTAATTATTTCAGTAACCTAACTATTGAAATATTTCAATAACCTTATTGCTATGCGAACTGTCAGTTTGCGCTTATGGGAATCGGTCACAGTCACATGTCATTTTTTGAAGAGACCACACTGCCGTGTCGGCCACTTGCGGCCCACTTCTGCTGGTGCGTTTCTACTGACTAACCCTGTATAACTATTGAGATTTTTTGCTATAAAAACATTTCAATTAATTGATTTTTAAATTAATTGCAGCATTGTATTGCAGAATTGCAGTTGTAATCATTACTTGGAAATATCAAAATTGTGAATATTTTAAACTTTACATTATTTTAATTGCAATCTGTTGTGAAAATAAATCTTAAATGATATTACATTTTGTCATTACAATATTAATTAATTATTTCAGTAACCTAACTATTGAAATATTTCAATAACCTTATTGCTATGCGAACTGTCAGTTTGTGCTTATGGGAATGGGTCACAGTCTCATCATTTTTTGAAAAGGCCACACTGCCGTGTCAGTCACTTGCGACCAACTTCTGCTGGTGCGATTCTACTGACTAACCCTGTATATGGGAATTACCTTAAAGGTTTTTTTCTGCACATCTTCTTTGGGTGTGTCTTTTGCACCTTCTTTATAGAGTTTTGGGGACTTGTAGTTTACAGTTTCAGTGGATGAAACAGGAATTGGAATTATTCTTCCTGTTCGACATGACACTCGAACTTTTTCACCTTCCTCTGTGTATCGCCACTCAATTTTTGTTGCTTGCCTATAAAAAAATGATGAATTTAGTAACACTGAAATTATCACACATGTGTTTATAAACTTACAAATCTGCAGGATCTATTAATGACACTTGAGTAGTCACCAATAGTGGAGCTTCACTTTGAACAACTACTCCTGGAAAATCTTTTGTCTTTCCCATACGCCTTAGATGTGTATTAAGACCATCTACAAAGACCCAATTTCTCTCTCGTATTATCTGTGTAACGATACCTTGTTTTCCTTTGTCTCTGCCAACAAGAATTTCAACCTGGAATCACAAGATGCCATAAATTCGAACAGACCTATTTAAGATGCAACAAAAATTATAATATGAATTGGTGGTAGAGCATAGCCTTAAAATAAATTAAATTTGTATACCCGATCACCACGGAATATGCTCCAGTCCTTGATTGGTTCAACAAGAACAGGTTTGCGGTTCAGATTGGGGAGGTTTTGGAAATAAAATGGCATTGTCCATGGTCGATTGGTGGTGAAGCGAAAGTTCTTTTTTTCAATGGTTCTTGGTAGAAATTGCGGCTTTCCACGGGGTGTACGTACATATACCTGATGAATGTATTGTATTAAATTTATAGTCTACGGAATTTTTTAATTTTCAAAAGGGTACCTGCTCCATTGTACGTTTTATATATCTTCCCGGCAAATTGCTATCCTGTATGGTCATCTTGCTGATACGGACCATCAGATATTCGGTTAGTCTCATTTTGTATATTTATAATTTTTTCCTTCACTGTAGAAAAAGTAGTGTATGCTATGGTACCCGTTTATCTTTACGTTCTGTGATCTATCGAAGCACACTTCTTCCTTTTCACTCCTTAATAACCCTAACCTAATACTAACAAAAATTCACTTGAAAACTTTTGGGTCCAAATGAAAAATCATAATCAAAAATCCACTGTTGATACAATACCGTAAAATAATGCACAGAGATCAGCAGAGAGATGCACAACGCTACGGTTTTAGGCGATACCAAAATTATGGCGCTAATCGTAGAGGTGAGTCTGGAAGTCGGATTTTGTGATCATCCCCTCCGTCGACAATGAGAATCCCAACGTAGCCGAGCTAAACGTGAAGACGAACACGTAGCTTGGCGGGCAGAGGTTCTCCGTTACTCACTGTTGGTTCCCAAAATAAAGCTTAGAACGAGACCGGGAACTATAGAACTTCTTAGAACTATTGAAAAAGCCTACTGTTGAAACATTTTTAAGACATTTTTAAAAAAGTGCTGTACAAACGTGACACCCATGTAGCACCTCAATTTAAAAAAAATCAAAATCAAATTCTGCTAAATAAAATTCTTGCAGAATATACGGAGTAGATAAAACGTAAATTGAAATTGTATAATATCGAAAATAAATTACGTTCAAATTGAAATATTAATAAATTAGGTGTTTGAAACATTAAAATAGTTAATTAAATCAATAAAGTAAAATATTAACACGTAGAAATCGGAAATTCTGTCCAAGCATATTTAGAAATACTGGAAGTTACCCAAAATTCTGTGCGCGCAATTTCGTCGCGCAGGACTCAGCGAGTGGGGGAGAGTGGGGGAAGCGACGAAGGCAGCATATTTAATTCTTTATCCTTCATTCTTTACTTTCTCACTTATCTCTTTCCTCGTTTCTTATCTACTTTTATAACTCTATTCCATATTTTTCTACATTTGACTTCTTCACTTCTATCTTCCTTTCTGTCATCTCGTTTTACTCAGTTCCCTCTCACTTTCCATTGTGCTTGTCTTACTTTTCCTATACTTATTTCTTCTTTACTTCCTTATTTCTTTATATTTTATTCTTTACTTTCTTACTTGTCTCTTTCCTCATTTCTTCTCCAATTTTAGAACTCGATTCCTTACTTTTTTACTTCTTCACTTCTTTATTTCTATATTCATTTCTTTATTATTTTCACTTATATCATTTCTCTCTTATTATCTTATTCGCACTTCTTTATTTTTATATCCATTCCCAACCTTCTTCGTCTTCTATATTTATTTCTTCATTAATTCCTTATTTCTTTATCTTTCATTCTTCACTTTTTTATTTCTATCTTGATTTCTTTTCTCTCGTTTCGCTTTGTTCC